CCAATGCAGCCAATATCACCCCCATGCATTAGTCAAAGAAGCACTGTTTGCAGGATGTAGGGGATGTATTTAGGGGCTCTGTGTGCCCTATCTACCCCCACACACACTGGGATGTATCCCCAGAGCAACACAGGACAGCAACAGGCTGATTCAGGGCACAACCATTGCATTAATGTACAATACCAGTGGGTAATCCTACTCTTGTAGGACCCCAGGTACACCTCTGGGCCAAAACTTGGCCCATATATCACATTGCCCACTGCACCTTGGGGCTCTGGTAGGAGACCGCCCATGGACGGAGTCATCAGTACCAGTGCATATATGAGCCATGGTCCTACAGGGGAGTGTATACTTGACCCATACCTTTATGGACAGTCCATGGGAAACAGGTCTCCAAGACAGAAAATGTGCACCCAAAAGATATATCTATAGGACTAGTTAAATGAGGGGTCTAAAGTGCGGAACGTCAATATTACCTAAACACCGCAACCATGACGCGTGCCAATGCCTTCCTCAGTCTTCCTCATCGCAAAGTGCAACGTAATGCCTTCGCTCAAATTTTGTAACAACAACCCATTTTTCAAGGCCAAGGGACAGCATATATTGACTCTCAAGTCTCCCAGCCAGTCAAACGTTTCGCAAACTTCCCAACTTTCGCCTTGTACCCCGGCCCTTGTTGCCTCCTCCCCGCACCTTCTCTACTTTCCAACATATTCATAAGGCTCCCGCTATCTCCCATTCGACTATGAGCATAGTCCTTGCTGACGTTTCTCCAATCTTCCTCCCTCAGCATGGGTGCATCATCATGACAGTTATCCTTGACCAATAGCCTCGCCAACGCCTTTGACAAATCGTACTCCTCCTCAAAGATGTGCTCGCCCGACTTCGATATCTTCCCCTTTGTTGTCGTAACGCACGCATGGTCCTTGAAATACAGCTCGTTATCAGCCAAGTCGTCCTTGTTCTCGTCCCACCACTTCTCCATCGACTCTTCGTTCTCCAACCCCGTCGCAACAAGGACGATCGGGACCTGCCCGCGGAAGACGACACGCTGGAAGATATCGTAGTTGATCTTGATGATTCTTCGGAACCGAGTCCCGCGCACGACGTACACGAGCAGGTGCACCCCGCCTTTCAGCTGCTTCAGGAGGTCAACGAGCTTCTCGCACGCTTCGTCCGCCGACACGGAGCCTTTAGAGCCCTCATTGAGCCCTGCGGTGTCCCAGAGCACATACTCGCGCTCGTCGATGGTGACTTGGTATGGCTCCGTCTCGAAGGTACATCCAAGCGCCTGGTTTGAGACTGCTGCGAGCGCGTTATCGTCGCTGGAGAGCATGTTGACTAGTGAGCTCTTGCCGACGCCGGATTCACCGAAGATGATCACGTTCGCTGGTGGAAGCTTGCCTCCAACAGAAGATCCTGCAAGGGACTCAGTGGCCATCGCAGGAGGTATAGGCGGCAGGGGATGGTCGATAAGGGTGGAAAACGGTGTTATCTCTGCCGCCTGACTGGACTGTGTGGCATTATGGGCACGATGAGCGGATAGTTGATGTGCCGTTGGGAGGGAGTTGTCGGACGGGCTGAAGGACGTAGGTGGTACTTCTCGCCCGTGCTGATCGTGATCTGACAACGCTTCATTCAAGGTGGGCTGGCCATGCAGCGCCGCATTTGGCGTTGTAACAGACGCAATGTGAGCTGCAGACGACAATGGCGGTGTGGTCATAGTCGTGCCCTGTCCATGCTGTATCGCGACCTGGGCGCGAGCAGAGGCTCCGTCATATGAGGTGGGGAAGGGAGGTGGACCTGCTCGAGCTCGCTGTCCAAACTGCTCATTACCTGGCGAAACTCCGCCCACCGACCCGTCACTACAGCTAGAAGAGAGGCCAGATGCGCTGTAATTCGATTGCATCGAGGAACGGGCGCTGGTTCGAACGTCTGGCTGTATCCTGTGGTACGTGTTGCTGTTACGTCTTTCCGACGACATACTCTGCTACATGAAGTTAACATTCTTGTCGCGTTTGTGCTGATTGACAGACGATGTACTTACCGAAAGGTTGTGCTTCAGAGATTTGTGCGAATGGTAAACCCTAAGACACCGTGAGCTGAAAGATAAAAGAGCGTTACCGGATGGGCCCAATCCACCATACTAACAGCGGAACGCCCAACTAGAATCGCTCTACGAATCTGCGTCCCCGTGTAAACCTTGTTGCCCCTCCTTCTATTGTTATTCGGGTGGCTAACTCAACTATAACTGTGTGTGGCTTCTGTTAGGCGCTTGGAATCCTCATAGCTGGTGTACCTGTGAGCTCCTTCTCTTCAGTACTATGCCTTTTCTCCCGTCTCTCGTGGGCGTAACCCGTTCATAAGGACGTTCTGATGGTCAGCTGTGCCGTAACAGCATCCGCTTGAGCGCCGAAAGTCCTCACCTTGCTTGCTCGGACAGTGCATCGTGTTTTTGGTTCATGTTCGGGATAGGATACGGCCATTAATCACTGCTGTATCCGACGTCGACACGACTGCTAACGGGCATTACTGGATATGGAATCCTTTTTTGTGAATCGCCTCGACGGTTTAAATCGAGGCGACTGTGTCTTGACCCTGCAGACATCACCCCTCTCACTCTGAAGGTAACGGCTCCTTTCCCTCGCAGTACGGAGGCGTAATTGACATGCTCTCAGGTTCGTTTAATATGAGCCAACCCATGAACATCATTTTATTTGGCGAAACCGGCGCCGGCAAGAGCTCTATAGTAAACATGCTCTCCGGACATCCAGTCGCGGAGATTTCCGGCGAAGCGGGGGGCTGCACGTTCAAATTTGACTGGTACCCCATCGACATTGGTAAAGAGACCTACCGCATCTTCGATACCGCTGGCCTCGACGAGGGTGTCGAAGGCACGATGCCGCCCGAGGACGCAATCGTGCAGCTATACCAGCTCATGACGAGTCTCGAGGGCGGTATCAACCTCATCATCTTTGTCATGCGAGGCCCACGCATCAAGGACGCGTCGCAACGCAACTGGCGTCTCTTTTATGAGATCTTCTGTAAACAGCAAGTTAACGCGGCCATAGTCATCACTGGACTCGAGCAGGAGGACGACATGGACGACTGGTGGCCGAGGAACAAGGCGCATTTCTACAGCTACGGGATGCGTCCGTTTGGCGCAGCGGGTATCACGGCTACTTTGGGGAAGAGGAAGGGGAACCGGTACCTCTTCCAGGAGGAGTACGACGAGTCTGTGGCAAAGGTCAGGAAGCTAATCCGCGATAACGCGATGCCGAACCCACGTTGTATCGACAAGGTCGAGTGGTTCGCGGACGTGATGTTACTTTGGTGTATTCCTGTTGGTCAGAAGAGTACGGCTGAAGTGCAGCGATTGATAGACCGATGCGGAATGTCGCCGGACGAGGCAGGTCGCCTCGCACGAAGACTTAGCTATGTGTAAATACTCGTGAATTAGAATATATTCTACCATAGCTGCTTGCATGTTAATAAACACATTGCATCCGTCCACGGCAATTAAAATACAAGCTCAAAGAGGATGAGGCTGCGGTTACGGCAAACATGAGGCATTGTGGCGATAGAGTTTCAGTCCCTAGACTAGGGACTACACGTAACGGAGTTCCCGATCACTATTTGGCATGATATACATCAGGGAGAGAAGAAGGAAGGGATGTCCTCAAGGCACTTTGATAAGAACTGAGAACCGAACGTCTAATTGTTTAACTAAGTAAGACGCTGCGAGCCTCAGTCCGCTCTTGACTGTCGAATTGAACCTCTCCTTCGAGAGCTCCATAGGTAAGCGTCAACAACGTCAGATAGTCGAGGCAGTGCACCCAACTCATGTTTACCCTAGCCGCCAGTCATGTCCATAAACGTCGTTATTTTCGGCGAGACAGGCGCAGGAAAAAGCTCCGTAGTCAACCTTGTCCTCGGGAGAGACGAGGCCCCCGTCAACAGCAGCGCCATTGGTGTCACCTTCGGCGCAAAACCGTATTCCGTCGATCTAGACGGACGCAGCGTGCGCCTCTTTGATACTTCCGGGCTCGATGAGGGCGACGAGGGCTCGGTGAGCCGCGAAGACGCGATCGTGCAGCTGTACCACCTCCTCACGAGCTTGGACGACGGCATCAGCCTGCTCGCGTTCGTCATGCGCGCGCCGAGGATCAAGCAGGCGCATGTCAATAACTGGCGGATATTCTGTGACGTGGTGTGCAAGCAGCGCGTGCCTGCGATTATTATCATCACGGGTTTGGAGAACGAGGATCCGATGAGTGGGTGGTGGACGAATAACAAGGGGGCGTTTGACAGGTATGGGATGTTTCCCAAGGATGTCGCGTGTGTCACTGCGACACGGGGAAAAGAGAAGAGCTTCGGATACACCTTCGGGGAACAGTACTCCGAATCAGCGACGAGAGTTCGACAGTGCATTGTGAATGCGGCTCTTTCACTTCCGCATCAGGTTGATAAAGTGGAGTGGTTCTCGAGGATGTACATCTTGGGCTGTATCCCGAATGGAGAGTCCGAAGGAGAGGAAGTCAAGCAGCTGATCGATAGATGTGGCATGCCTCGGGATGAAGCTGAGCGATTAGCTAGGAGGTTGAATGGGATATAAGTTAGTAATCCGATAGCTGAGCAATATATAGTCACTGCGAAAATAAATGGTAGCGCAATACCCGGTACGGCATTTTTTTGAGTCGCTGAGATAGATATAACAACATGGTTATAGTAAGCGCGAAAGTTAGAAGATACAGACCAAATGTGTACGTTCATTGAGCGTTGAACCAGGTGCAGAAACTGTATAAAGTTGTGTCACGTCAAGAATAACTCATTCCGGTCAGTTAATACAGCAAGTACTAGATACAGCATTCGTACATATGTTTGGGAGCTGTCATTGAATAACAATTATCACATGCACGAGTCCTTTTGCTCATCAATTGCGAGAAGATTGCCATCACAATTATATGCGCCATCACTGTCGTAAAAGCCGTCTCCGTCGAATCTTAGTTGGTTCTGAGGTCGGTGGAAGCTAACTTTGTTAAAGACACCCATGATCCGGACTACCTTCTTCCACCGAAGTGCCGCAAGACGATGATTTGGTCTCTCCGAGTCTTCCATCAGACTCCAGGCGCGGATATCCTGTTTTTCCCTCCCTGTTCCACGAAGGGGAAAGATGTCTGCGAGGTACATTGCAACCTTTAGGGCATTGTCTCCGATAATCGAGTCCAACAAATCCAGCTTGAAGGATCTGTAGATGCTGAACTGTCCTAGATGGTGACTGCCAATATCCCCTGGGCTCACACTGGTACCATCAACGGCTATGGCGATTTTCGTAAGCTGCGGGAGCTTCTTGTGAAATCGTCGTAACCCTGGAAGGGTTAGTCGCGAGCCGCCGCTCCAGCCGTTCCCTTCGTATATGCCGAGGGAGACTAGGTTCGGCCACGCATCTCCCATCTCTAGAAATTCGCTGTCAGTCAAAGCAACCGTTCGAAAAGTTACGATATTGATGCGGAGTAATTTGTTGAAGGGGGTAAGATGTTGGAGGGTGGTCCAATCGAGTATATACGAGAAGCCGACCCTACCCTCGCACATGGTGAGCTTGCTTAAGGCTTCTCTGTCAAGGCTTTCAGACAATGCGCTAGACAGGTGCGCGAGTGAAGTCGACGACGCTGCCCCTGCAGATGCTTCGAAAAGAGCTATGGATAATCTGTGTTTCCGAAAGGAGTCGAGCAGTTGGGCAGCATCTACGGATGTATCTGGACTTTCGAGAGCGATCGAATTGATCCTAGGAAAGATAGGTGTAGTGGGATATGTGAACACGCAGGTGCTCGACGGGAGCTTGGTAATGTCAAGCGCCCAAATACACGTTCAGAATCTCGTGGTGCAGCGGATGGAGTTGTGAGGACGGCGAATATCATACTCGGAGAAGGGAAAGGTCACAATGTGTTGACTAGCGGGACGAGACGCGTCATAATTACAGTTCCGCTTTGACCCACAGCGCTCTCCGAAACCGATGACCTTGACACACATATGAGTTTGACTCAAGCCCACAAAGGACGATGATGGTGCGCTAGCATGTTTTTGTCCCTCCACCATCATTGAATTGAGTGCTGTATGTTCCAATTTATTTCACGAAAAATCCCCAACATATCGTGGGAGGAACCACACATGACATCATCTAACTATCATATGATGGGCCGGCGTTGTATAGACCGAAGCTTCCACACTTTCTCCTCATCTTCGATCTGTCCCGAGCCGTATACGGTGGTCCAGACATTCCAACTTCCAACTTCCAAACGTCAATCATCCCTTCCTTGCCTTGCTACACACAGCAAGACACACAGATCACGGCCACAACATGCATCACGCCCTGCAAATCAACGAAATCATCACCATCGTCGTTTGGTTTGTCGGCCAACCCGACTCAAGCGTGAACGGTGAAGCAGACCCGCAAAAGAGCCTTGCAGCTTTGGCCAGAGTCTGTCGCACTCTCTCAGAGCCAGCGTTGGACGTCTTATGGTCGGACCTCAGCAGCTTGTTCCCACTGTTTCGATGCCTGCCTGGCGACCTCATCACCTATCATAGTATGCATGTCTTTGGTAATTTCGTACGTCTTCTATGACTTGTCTATGACCGCTTTAAGGGCCAGAATTTAACCCATGCTTCTCTGTATTAATAATTCGCTCAAATAGAAATTCCAGCTAAGAAGGCGTTTCACTCACCGCGACTGGGACGTTTTCTTCAAGTACTCGGCACGTGTTGTCAAACTTCGCGTGATTCCAGAAGGTCCCGAATGTATCCCGCCAGAGATCTATCTCGCTTTATCCCTCCCGCCCGCTTCGATTGTTTTTCCCAGGTTGCGACGTTTGCATTGGGTTGAATGGACAGGTACCGCTGAACGCTGTATATTCATGAGACAGCTGCTCGGCCCCTCCATAATCCAGCTGAACCTTACCTTCACCAGCCGCGAGACAATGACAGCGCATTTCCTTGGGCTGGTCTCTACTCTGGGTGCATTATGTCCCAGAGTCAAGGACGTAGAATTTTTCGGACAAGGCGACCTTCAGGAGGATGCCGTCGGGGCATTGTCCGAAACTATCTGTTCCTGGCACGATCTTGAAGTTGTACAGTGCTTCTCCCGTCTGAACATCACAGCATTGCGACACCTCGCGTCCCTCAATTCACTTCGAATTCTCCGCTTGCAGTCACTCATGCTCAACCCGTATCCTACAGATCTTTGGGGTGTATCTAACGGCTCTCCTTTCCCTGGTATCCACTCAATTACTCTCAATAGTACTTTCAGCACACTGTCAACTGCCGCTGAGATGGTTAGCTCCCTTCAACAAATGCATGTGGCACCTAGAAGCTTTACCGCGGCGGCGGGGAGGGTTTCGGAAAACTCCATGGTGCAACTTTTCCAATCAATTGCGAATGGATTCGATAGAGAGGCCTTGACCGATGTTTCCGTCTCAGAATTGGCATTTTTGGCCCAGACGCTGCCTGAATCAAGTCGTATCAATCCAGACATGTTTCGTCACATCCTATCCTTCCAAAATCTACGTTGCATCGACATTCAGTCTAGGCGAGATGTCTTTATGACAGACGGTGCACTTCTGCAAATGGCGACATCCTGGCCGCACCTCTCATCACTGCGTATCAACCAGAGATTTGGCTGGCAGACAAGGTCAAATGTAACCCTGCACGGATTACGCAATATGTTGCAGGCGCTACCTTGGCTTATAGATCTGGCAGTGGCCATCGACGCAGACACTTTTTGTCCCATGGATGTCGAGAGCGACAAATTAGGAAATTTTTGCATTTACAGGCCCTTCACTATAGATTTGCTGGATTCATGGGTTAGCAAGAACATCCCGGAGGTAGCAGCGTTTTTAGCCGACATATTTCCGCTTCACGAGATAGGCAGGCAAGACCGTTCGATCCATGCCTGGAAAAATACACTACGAACGAGGGAGACGAGTGGCTATGTGAATGCATGGGAAACTGTAATTCGCACAGTGGGTGTTATCAACAAGGTCAGTCTGAAGAGACCGCAGACGCAGCTGAGGTTCGATAGGGATGGAGACTATGACAATGAGGGAGCTTATAATATTGATGGTGGGCTGTTATTGTCTGATTAGATGCAGTCGATGATAGCCTATGTCGAGTACATGAACGCTCACCAATGTACAATAAGTGGCCTGCGTATCCCACATTCCAACTTGCCGTTTGATCCCGAGTTTCTTAGACAAAGCTGATACAGTCCTGTTTGGTGCTCCACGTTCAAAAGTCGGCGGCCCGTCGACCGTAGAGCTTCTCCACTGGACCGTTAGCTGCAGCGCTCGCGTGGCACTTAACTCGACTGGTAAACATGATACCATAAACTGTGTGGAGTTCAAGGTGCTTTTAGATGCAAATACAACGCAAACGCAGTTTATTACAACAATTCAGACCCATAGAAGTTTAATTTTGCTATCGAGTATAGCACCTCCTGGGCGCTTACTGCGGGGTACAGGGATACGAGTCCACGTTGACCGTATCAACGACCCACGTCAACCCCCCGTCGGGCGTCGACAAGCTCGAGTCGCTTGTGCCAGCCTTGTACAGCGTGCTGCCCCAGTCTGGGTCTGCCGCGCCAAGCACGATCTGTGTGCTGCGGTACGCTTTAATACATCAAAATCATCAGTGACTAGCACTATGTCATATAGCGACGAGTGTTTTTACTGTGAGCGGGCATGTTCCCACTGACGTTGTCCTGACATTCAACCGCGATATTCCAGGCATACGGCCTGCCCGAGGTACTCGTGAACGTGGACAGCAGCTGACCATCTCTGTACACGTTCTGCACCGTCGTGCCCGTCGAGTCGTCGTAGTTGACTATGATCGTTGATAAGCACCGCCTACGTAGACACATAAAAAGAGAGGGACTAACAGTCCATGTCCAGCATGTCGCCCTCGATCACGGGGACGTAAGCTCCGGCGGTCTGGGCATTCGTGTTCCCGTCGTTGAAACCCGCAAAGACACACCACTGGCCAGCCTGGCCACCGCAATTAGTTTCCCGCACATCAATCCACTGCTCCACGCATTCCAGTGCACTGAAGATAAATATCACCTAGCAGGGTCCGCGAACGAAACGATGATACTCTGAACGAGACCCTTGTTCGCCGTCTCCATGCCAGGCCAGATAGCGAGGCGGTCGGTCTGCGGGTTCGGCGCCGCGGAAACCTAGAGTATCGTCTTGGAGGAGGCAACTCAGGCGCCGCTGTTGACGCCCCATGAGTTGAGCCACCACTCGCCGCCAAAGCAGACGGTTGCGGAGGCAAGGAGGGGTAAAGAGGAGAGCGAGAGCGAGAGAGGGAGGATGGATCGCATTGTTGTCGTGTGACGAGGGGAGCGGTTAGTTAGTGAATTGAGTGTGTCTGATTGTCCCCAGCTTATACAGTGTTATAAACGGGGTTTTTGGCCATCGAAATATCGGTGCTCCGGAAAATTATTCCAGGATGCATCCTAGAACGAAAGTGTAAATAAGCTGGTTAACCAGCGTTGTCACTTGGGGAAAGTTGCAGTGTTGAGCACTCACAGCCTGCAGCAATGACTGTCATCCTCGCGCCTCGAGGAAGTCATAACCACCATGTTTTGGCATTCGCAGCAGATGCGGGGTTTTACATCGCCAACTTGAAAGTTTCGTCGGCCTGTTTGAGGTTTAGTGAATAGTTTCTTGCGGTTTCCGTCTGTCAGAGTCTCGGGAGAAGCGTCGAAACCGCCGTTTCTGTCCAACTTCATGTGAATATCGGTGAAGTAGGCATAACGTTGAAACCATGAGAATGTGGAGAACGAACCTCCGAATGATTCGACAGCGAAAAATAATATGACATTGACGAAAACCGACTTGCAGTCCAAGTAGAAGCAGTCAATAATAGCACTTATGCCAAGTACACGAAGGCCCAACCGTGTGCTATATGCTCTCCGAATCCCACATTAGATCCTGCAACCTGATTCCTAGCTCTTTCGATAACACCGACACGACCTCGTAGGATACTCCGCACTTAAACGCCGGCGGTCCATCTAGTTTCTCCACCGGCGTCGTCCGCTGCAGCGCTCGCATGGCGCTCAGTTCGCAGATCTGGATGCAAAAAAGTTCAAGTCAGTTCTCAACGACGTCCCTTATGCATGGATTTCAGGATACTCACAGCTGCGTAGACATGTACTCGCCGCAATTCCATGTCAGTATATTCTCCCGGAAGGGATAAATGCGGCGCTGGCAACCTGTCTTCGGCGTCGTTCTCTTCTAGAAGCGCCCCAAGGATGGCAAGCAATCTATCGAGTGGGAATGGGGAAGGACCTACAAGTCGCTGGGCAACCTGTCCTAAAGCGTTAGACGCATAAGAACGAAGGAATAGGCAAACAGACCGACCTTGACCGCGCCACTCGCCGACCCTTTCCTCGGCGAGGTTGATCTAGCCCTCCGCCTCTTCCTCTTCCGTTCGTCCGATCCTCGGCCGAACATCCGCAAGTCGGACTTAGCGGGATTCGTCGACGCGAGGAAGGACGCGACTAAGATGTACTTCGACAGCCTAGGCAGGTGCAGGACCATACTGCTGCTCTGGCTTTGACCGTGTCCATGGGCAGCGGTAGCAGCCACGGGTCGAGGAATGGGAATGCCAGAGTCCGGGCTGGCGAGCACGCCCTCCGGGGGCTCGTTTGTCTTCGCCCAGCTGACGGCATGGGACTTGCGCGGGAGAAGAGTCTCGACGGCGGATGTGATTGAGGTGCGGAAGTACCCCAGGAGACGGAGGCGGTGGTCTTCGTTCAGTAGAGCGCGGAGTCTCCTCGCACGCCTGTCCTTAGGGGAATCTTGCTCCCCATCTCGGGTCGCTTCGACGTCCATAGCGACCTCATCATCATCATCTTCCTCCCGTAAACGCTCTAGGATGGGTTGTACGAAGCCGGGCCAGCGTGCTGCAGCGACGTACTGCAGCTGCGCGGGATCGTGCGTGAATTTGGCGCAAGCGCCGTATAGGAATTCTGCGTAACTCTTGTAGAGCGGTTCGAGAGCTACGTTATAGACATCGGTAGAAGGAATTGAGTCGTCTTTGGTGGTGCAGGTATTTCGGAAGGATTGGAGTAGGCGCTCGATTGTTTCTAAGTGTTAATTCATTGAATGAGCACACGAGGCGTACGTGGGCCGTATGACATGGCGAACCGTACCTTGTTGTGCTGGAGGCTCAACGGCAATGCAATATGGGTCTGGTGCTGCGCCATTCGGCGGTCGCATATCGTGCCAGTGCACAGTAGACACCAGGATTACGCTGATTCTTACACGTGCCTATGTGGCATAGTGTCAGAACATAGTCGCGATTTGCATAGAAGCTTAGTATTGACTCAGTAGCAGAGTTATGTGAAGAGGAACTCACCACTTCCGCCAGACACGTCAAGGGCACGATCACCTCAGGCATGTTCTCCTTCAGTCGCTCCGCCTTGTCGATCACGATGACCAGCACTGGGCCCTCATCCATCCCTTCAAATTCTTCGTCATCCACTGCCTTGGCTTTTCCCTTCCCCTTCCCTTCAACATTGTCCTTCCCAAAACCACTCGCATTCTTCCCAGCACCCTGCGCATACACCGCCCGCAACCCCTCGCAGAAGCTGTCAAAGCAGTCGTTCCACCTCTCCTCTGAACCGAGCCCGTTGGGTCCAGGCCAGTTCGTGCACCCATCCGACCATGATGGAATCCATTGCGCCAGCTGGTTCAGCACGCCGTCGTACAAGAGTCGCGGCTTGAAACACGCGACGGCGTTCACGTGTGCGACGTAGAGAGGAGGGAAGTCCGGGATCGTTGGCTTCGCATTGGGTGTTTCCTCCGTGTTATCCTGCCCCGTCTCCGCATTGCCTTTCTCCTTTTGCTTCCCTTTCCCCCGTCTACTTGAGCTTCTTGGTGGAGTCTTCTTTGGCGAAGATGTCGATGCCTCGGAGTGAGAAGAGAACCCAGAAGGGCCGGGCGCACGCGAGAGAACGTCGTCAATGATGGAAGACACGACGCGTGCTCCGCTGGAAGTCGTGTCGGTAATGTGAATGAATGGTGGTAAACCATTGCTGCCACTCGCAAGCAGCTCGGCGAGGTGGGAAACGAAGTTGGAGTAGCCGGGGTGTTGATGCGCGAGGTCGTTGATGAGGTCGAAGCTGCCTAAGTCTAAGTGTTCGTCTGCAGCATTTGCCATGAACGTTAACGAGGATAGAGGAAAGCGTAGTGAAGAAAGGAGGAGCGTTTGAGAATGCGACGCGTTAGAAGTTGCGAGACGCGGAGTACGCGTGGTGCGTGGGCGCGAGAAGGTAAGAGACGTCCGCGGCGGACACGAACAGCAACGCGCCCTGATCTTGTCGTCAACAATCACTCCATCGCCCACGATCCTTTGGATCCTAGCTGCTCAACCTTCATCTTCAACATGCATCATGCTCTGCAGATTGAAGAGATCGTCGAAAACATACTCTGGTTTGCAGGCCCAAGGGAGTCGTCTACTTCCTTTCGCCCTCCCAGTTGGGATGACAAGGGCCACCCATTCAAGAGTCTTGCGGTCTTGGCTCGTACATGTGCTGCGTTATCTGAGCTGGCACTGGATGCCCTTTGGGCGCACATCGATAGTATCGAGCCGTTGTTGTTATCCCTTCCCGACGCTCTCATCGAGGTTCAAGAAAGTGGCCCCATCTGGCACAAGTCATTCGTGAGCCACATCACGGCTAGAGTGTCTGAACTTATCCACTCATGAATTCGAATCTACATTTTCAGGCTAAAGCGGCCGTTCAGTCTCAACGGTTGGAAAACTTTTTGCAAGTACTCCAGCCGCATGCTCAGTCTGCGTTGGAGGCACACCATGCACAGCCAACTTACTTCTGACGTTTACCAAACCCTATGTTATCCACCCACTTCAACTCTGTTTCCAAAGCTGCATAATAGTCTGGGAAGGGCCTTTGACACAAAACCTGGATTCCGATCGGATACCGCTTCTGAGACAGCTGCTTGGGCCGACGATCACGAGTCTGAGCATTTCCCGTGTGGTGACACACGCACCTACCCTTGGTCTGATCGCTATCCTCCCTAGCATCTGTCCTCGTGTCAACGCATTTCACTGGGAAGATGGCGATACCCCCAATCCAGAACTTGAGGTCTCTGTTTTATCTCGAGTCGTTTCCTCATGGGATAATCTTGAGCTGGTGCGGTGTAATCTGCTAGATTGCGGTGCACTTCAGCACTTAACACGCTTGAAGAACCTGACGTCGCTAACAACGGATCTTCCCAGTCACCCCTCGTCCTCGATTTTTCAGGCGTTTGAGCCACCCATGTTCGAGGCACTCATCTCGCTGCAGCTCTCAACTTCACCCGACGATTCGCTTTCAGTCATGGCTGAGCACATCCGAGGCTTAAACCATGTGCGATTGGCTCCAATAGAGTTCACCGCTAGGAGCGAGCATTCTTCCCCATCATCATTAACAGACCTCTTCGATGCGTTGGCCGCCCACTTCAACAATACGACGTTAAGAACCCTCGATGTTCGGGAATTCGCCAATAGGCCACCCGATGTTTTCATTGACCAGCATACATTTTCCAGACTCCGCACGTTTCAACATCTATCCCAGATATCCATAGACACTGGGCGCTGCGCTGTTGACTTGGACGATAACGCCCTCCTACAGATGGCAGAGGCGTGGCCAAACCTCATGGCACTATCCATCAATCCCATGACAGGCTGGAGAAGACGGTCCCAGGTGACCTTCCGCGGCCGAATAACCTTCATAAGCAAGCTCCCCCAACTTAGCGAGCTGGGAGCTGCAGTTGATGGCAATACTCTGACCCTTTTAAACATCGAGCATGATAGCAACGGACAGACCAGCATAGAAAAACCGTTTGTTTTGGATCTTTTAGATACAAGGATAGAAGGTAATGATGTACCGGAGGTTGCAGCATGTCTCGCCGATATGTTCCCTTGTATGGGCTTGGAAGGGTTTACCCCAGTCCATGCGTGGAAATGGAGGTACAGCACGGGCCTGGATGAGGGAGGCATCTGATGTTTACGTGGGTAGATGGGAGTGTGTTGCTCGTACTGTCGGCTTTATAAATCGGGTTAGGCACAGGAGGGGTCGACAGAGTAGTGTATAATAAATATTCATGACATAGATTCTGATGATGTTGCTCCGTATATAACCTTTCGTTCAGTAGCCAAATTCAAGTCATTCAGTCGAAAGCTAATGATCGCAGCCAGGTTGGCGAGACGAGGATAGCGACGCACTGCAACCTTAAGCCTATGGTCAGCCCTGACGCGGTTCTACTCACATGGGATGACGCATCGATGAAGCCTTCAACCAAACATATTGTAAGAGATAAATAAGGATACCGTGATAGTGCATACGTGATAAGTAGTCTTCGTTGCTGACACAGGAGTGCGCTGTAACTTCAGAACCTCCAAAGTTACAGTGCCATGTTTAGCGACGGGCCACACTACTCTCATCAAGAGGGTTACAGCCTTCGCCTGTATGCTTGCACAGGCGCGCAATACGGTTTCGGAGAGCGGAGTAGGCGTGGCGATGTGTATGTGCGTGGTTTTCGGAATTCTCTCAGGTGGAATGGTGGTCTTGAAGGGTGTGCATTTGATGGGTCAGGCGGGTGAGTGTCCGCGCTTTCGCTTGTATGGATTTATCAGCTGTCCTGGTTCTTTCTCGCCGCCGCCGGTATAATCGGATTTACCGCTCTCCTCCGAGTCTGAAGGCACCGCATCCGACTTTGTGTACGCATTTCTCTCCGTTTCGTCCTCGTGCACGCTGACACACGTCTCCTTGTCCGCCTCCCGCTTCCGGGTATGGTGGAGGATAGACGATGACGAATAACGAGCACCCGAACTCGAAAATTCGTCACCGCACGATGGAGTGGCAACGGAATGGAAGCTACCGGCGTGTCGAAGAGGAGTGGTTAGGGTTTGGTCAGCCACCATGCTCGTTGGGCTGAGATGCGTCGCTGAGGACACCACTCCGATAGGCTTCTGTAATGGAAATCCACTACTTCATTTTTTTTGCCATGCACCAGGCAGAATTGGGACGTACATTGACAATAATTTCGCCTTCGAACTCTTCTAGAACGGTGGCGTTGACGAGGTCGAGTTCTTTTGCGTAGAACTTCCAAAGCTGTGTTTCGGCTGAACATCGTGGTAGAGCAGTGTGGTAGACGTGGAGACACGATTGATTGATTGGCTCGGAGAATTCGTTCATAAGCTGGTATGCGTCAGATAATAGATCGATGACCGTATCTTGATCAGGCCATGATGTCCATGTCTGTTTCGAAAGGATAGTTGGGTGAGCGAGAATTTCCTTGCCCAACGCATCTTCAAATACTTACTTTCACCACCTCGATTGCTTGCTGGAGAGACGTGATACAGGGATCAAATACACCTATAATGGGCGCAGCCTCCATCCAGTGAAGGAGATGCTCGCTGACAAAATCTAGCAGAGCGTCGTGAAGCCTGGTTTCGGACAATGACTCGCACAGATGATAGGTCCAGTGAGTGACCGCGTAAGCGGTCGCATGAGACATAGCGCTAGCTTGCCTGTCTGAGAAGTCTTGTATTTACGTATGGGGGTTTAATGTCTCTCCAAGACGACACATATCTCTGGTAAGCGACCGCTCCATGCGTTCAAGGCAGGCAGAGGCAAGGTGGCACTGAACGACAGCAGGGTCAGTGAAACCGGGCCTGGAGCCCTGTAGTAGATAATTGCGGAGTGACGGGTAGTGTATCATCACTGGTTCGAGGGTGGAAGGCGCAGACACGATGGCTGCCATAGAGTCAAGGATGGGGCACACGTCATAGCGCATGAGGTGGGAGATGTCACCAGCTGACATTGGTTGCCGCAAGGAAAGGACGAGGGAGATAGTCGCCGATCCTTGAGAAGGATTCTCTGACGAGTTGATGACATCCCGGAATAGCATATTCACTTTACAAGACCCAGAGGTCCGCAAAAGTGCGCCCACAATGGCCCACCGTTCCGACAGGCTCGCCCTCACTATCAGGTTAGCCAACGTTGCGACCACGACAAAGTTGCTTGAGGCTTTGCTGAGCGATAGTAGGAAATGCCTTCCCAATGCGCTGGGGTCCCGACCTCTACACTGACGCAGGTTAATGAAGGACATCTGAATAAAGTGCTCAATATCGCTTTTAGCGTCGAAATCTTCCATTTTAAATCGAACGAGGGAAACGAGAGGAGGCTCAGCAATAATATCTCGGACGTGCTTGTACGGACGACTGGTGAATATGACGCGGAAGCCGTCGGTGGTGTCCTTGTGAAGGGCGTCGACAAGAAGGCGGATGAGCTGGGGGAGGTGGTGACTGTGATCGCCGGAGTTGCACTGTTCTAACCCGTCGAAGAGCATGATCATTGTCTTCCCTAATTCAGACCATATAGTCTTCAGAACCTCAATCGGCCTGAGCACAAGATGCGTGAATTGGTCATGCCGCGGTTTCTCGGGCTTGAGCAGCTGCGTGTCGTCAGTGATGGCCTTGATGATGACCTCTTTAACGACCGGGTGAAGGAGACCAAGCTGATAAGCAATGGTGGGAATGAGATGGTCGGTGGTGCTGTGCTTGGGATGACTACGAGAGAAAAAGAACGTAGCAACTAAACTGCCGTTGTCGTGGAACTCCTGTGCGAGCGTATGCGCTACGGTGGACTTGCCCGACCCTGCTTCCCCAGAGAGCCAGATAATCTTGCCGCTCTCCCTGTGAATAGCATCCAGTAACTGGTCCAGGAGATCTACGCGAGTACCTGGAAGACATTGCGATGACTTTTGCTCGGCGGGATCGAACGTTGCGGAATGGATGCACTCCTCTCCGAGGCTCTTCCATGCGTCGTGCTGGACTGGGTCGAGCATTGTTGGGCGCTGGAGTTTACTTCATGTAAGTGAGCGCGACTGAAGGATCCATAAGATGTGAGACTCACTCGAACAACGGTGGCAGGGGAAGATGAAGGGGAGAAGTTGAGGGGTAAGTGGGCAATGCCCAAGCGCTCATACAGCATCACACAGCATTGTTGTACCTTTGTTCGCACGTGTACGTTAGAGCGACAGGAACCCTGAGCGCTTAAAGTAGATCATGATAGAATTCGAACTGAACGCACCCATAACCTTGTGTTAGCTAGCAAACACGTCCACAATGCGTCCTGGAAGTACTCCTGGTCCATCCCGAACCGGACATGGGCCGTCGTCAACCTAAGCGACGCCGTTGGCTCTGCATTTATTTCATTGGCTTCCCGCAATGGTGTACGGTGACATTGGTGACGAAGAGCATGTATACGGAGCCCTGCTATCTGACTTATGGTGGACGAGTGGCAGAGGGGGCAAGTGAAGATGGACCAGGGAAACAGGAAACGGGAAACGGGAAACGGGACGGAGGCGCGTCGGGTCACGAGATCGCGTGGGATAAAAATCCTCGTCTTGCTCATCATCGCCTCCCATCCGCTTTATAACGTAGGGCCACGCGCGCGCAGCAAAAGCCCGCTACCTAGACATTGATGCAATTATTATTATTTTTAATTTGCTGCAATAGTCCGAGCGTACCCTGTAGAATTGCGAGTGTATAATATACAGCCATTATAGACAGGTATAGAGTAGGGTATGTAATACTACGTCGCACCCGAGCCCCGTATCACAGAGCATTCCTCTTTGCAGGGGAAGGAGAAGGGGAGTCAGCCTTTTGTTTGCCCTTAAGTCTTAGATGATGATCCGATACTCATCAACACATTGGTAAGAGCAGGGCTGGGAGTTCTTTTAGTGGGCGTTGAGGGGAACCTAACGAGTGAAAGTACCTCACGGATCTCAATTGGCCCACCGCATTAATATTCGGACAGCACCTTGATTTCCAGGAGAGGCAAGGACTCTATCAGTCGAGATATCAACATTGAAAATACTGGAAGGGCCAAAGAACAATTGTTGGATCTCTGCCTTACATCACCTATACTGATAGCAATGAGAGTGGGACCAACAAGATCCATAGAACCAGTACAGCATTGGTTAATATCCACATTGTCACGGGAACTTGACAACAAATTAGGTGCTTGCATTGAGTGAGAATTGTCCGCATGGACATGGGCATGGATAACACATCCGCATGGATAGGCATATATAGTCTATGAACATCGCAAACAACTGAGGAAAAGGAAGTCATTGGTTGATGATATGGAAATTAGAACGCCAGCACGGTGAGGGGGCGAAACGGGGGAAGAGTAGCGGCCGGGCTGATTCAGTATCGGGATCCCAAATATGCCTAAAGAAGGAAAATGCGCGCGCGGAAAGCGAAGCGGGGGTCAAAATATCACGTGATCTCGTTTGAGCTGATTTTTGGCAGAGATCCCTAGTACACGAGTTGCGCTGAGACCCACTACCTAAGGTAGCGGGAATAGCGAGTACTCTCAGAACTCTGTACGCAATACGCTTTGCAGATAGCGGAGGTCCTCTCTATCATATTCTGGAATGCTACTCCGGGTCAGACCGATTGGGACGATACTCTTTACCCTCCAAAGTGGAACAATAGCAGTCGACCGCACCAGACCCTGGCAGCCTTAGCTCAGACGTGTCGCAGTTTCTCCGAGCCAGCTCTGGATATGTTATGGTCCAGAGTCACCGATGTGCTCCTTCTACTGCTATGTCTCCCTGACGAGGTTATTCACGCTGGGGAGCGAGCGAACGAGAGTGGTTATGAATGGACATTGTTCGTGAGTTGACCATTAGCCCCTAAATACCGTCTTAACTGAGCTTCCGACCCCGCCCGCACAACTAGGCACTTAGTCTAAGGCGATCATTGGTCGACTTGTCATCGCCGGAGCGGCCATGGCGAAAGAAAAGGCAGTGGAACGGCACACGAAGATGGTCAAGGAAATTGGACAAGATCAATCCAAGATCCTAACCTATTCGGATGGCTCCCTACTGGAGGAGGACGGGAGGAGGAGAACGGGGACGGGATGGGTGGGGTACGTAGGGGGGCAAGTGAAGATGGAGGGAAAGGAGGGCCTCGGAGAGAGAGCCGAAGTATATGACGGCGAGATGCTCGGGATCGTACGTGCACTCGAGGACGCGATGCAAGTCGCCGATGCCGACAGGAACATCAAACACATATACATATTCGCAGACAACGCTGCTGCTGTCCAAGCCGCCTTCTACGCGGAACCGGGACCATCGCAACA